CCAGGCATAAATATTAATGGAAAGAACCCCATGGATCTGGGTATTAGCGATACCATTAAGAAAATGAAAAGACAGGTACTTTGGGTCCCTGGTAGTGAGTTTCTCTGCTGTCGCAGTAAGCCAAATGGAGCCAAATTAAAGGTAAAGGACCAGGTTTCATCTGAGCAAAGCACTCTTGGGTGATGTCAGGGGAAGGGAGGTGAGAAACCACGAGGGTGGTCTATAGACCAGAGCTGAAGCCCTGTAGGCCTCCTCTTGAGCAGCTCTGAGGGAGGAGCTACTGCTTGGCCAGCTTCCCGAGGGACAGGGTTTGGAGGGGAGGGGGCTGAGGTAGAGCTTCCAGTGGAACATCCCAACCTTCTTGGGTATATGGGTGCCGGTTCAAGTCTGTCTACTTCCTCTGGCATGGGATGACATGGGGAGGGGGAGTCAGTAGTCCATTTGTTCACTCTCAGTGGGAGGTGTGGGTGCATAAGCATTTGGTTAATTGCAATATTGGAAACCCCAGGGATCTGTTTCTTGAGGAAGCTGAGAAGACAAGTTGCTAGCAGAAAAAACAGATTATTATTGGCACGAGGAGTAGGACTAGCCGTGGGGAGAGTGGAGATTGCCAGTGAGAATGGAACAGAGGAGAGTGAGCAAGGCTGAAGAGCAGACTTCCCTGGGCTGTCTTGGTGGAGGGTCCCATTGCTGGACAGACCGTGGATCCTAGATAGCTGCCTGCTTGAGCCTGGAGAGACGGTACCAGCATTGAAGTCCCAGGAACTTGGGGGGATGGCACACCAAATTGGGGGATGTTTCTCAGGAGTACCTGAGTCATCACATCTGCCCCATCCATCCTGTAAAGGTATCTCTAGAGTTAAGAGATGACGGAGCATTTCATGAGTGGGCATGTGAGTGAAGTCAACCTGCCAGTCATTGCCTGGGTGGCATCTTTGGAGCTGGTACAGGGGCTGGCGTATCTGGAAGGCTCCCTGCAGTTGCCTATGGCGCACTTCTGGCAGGTGGAATGGACCTGTAATATTTGGGCTTGAACATGGGTGGGGTCAAAGAGAGACTCTAGAGACCAGGCCTGATTTCTTGATACAGTGGCAGAACTCTTTCCTTAGGAACACGGAGGTGTCAGTAAAACAGGTGGAACAGATTTATACCTTGGGATTATAGCAAAGGCTATGTCTTTGGGTTAAAACATTTTCCCTAGTGCCTGGATTTAGCCCCATGAAACACATAGCTTAGAAATGATTTGTATCTAGAATATGTAAAAGTCTCCTTCAATTTAGTAAGAATCTAATTCTTTAACTGATAAAAATTAGACATATATTGATTTATCAATTCTACTCAAACATTTACTCAAAAGAAATAAAAATATAGTTCCACACAAAGACTTGCAGCATCTTTCAAAATTCTAAATTGAATTTCACATAACATCTGCTCAAATGCACTGTATATAGTGGAATTCCATATAGCAGTAACAATTCTACTGAAGTACAGATGTATACATACACATATGGATAAATCTCAAAAACATTTTCCTAGGGACAGAATTACACAAAAGGCTACTTACAATAGACTCATAGTTATAGGAAGGTCTAGATATACGGATAGAAGGTATACAGATAGGAAATGTATTGGCAGTACTTGCCAGAGACTAGGCGTGGAACAGAGCTTGACTGATATGGATGCCAAAGAGTAAAGGGGATTAGTTGCAAAGTGGTATTACCTTATTAGAATTACATGAATTATACTCAGTTATACTTTCATATCTTAAAACAGTGCATTTACTCAGCACGATGATGCATTTTGGAAGTGAAAAAAAAAAGTAAGTTTCTTGGTGTTTTCATGCCAGGAGTTTACTTTTAAATGGGGAAATTGTTTCTCAGTATGTTATATTAAAAGTCTATCAGCTGGATGGTGGTGGTTCACTTCTTTAATCCCAGGACTTGGGAGGCAGAGGCAGGTGGATCTCTGTGAGTTCGAGGCCAGCCTGGTCCAGAGAGCAGAGTTCCAGGACAGCCAGGGATGTTATACAGACAAACCCTGCCTCACTAACTAATAAACAATCAAATAATTGAATGAATGCATGATAAACAAATAAATAAAATCTACCATATTATTCTGATTTTGTCATAGCCATTCAGTTTTCTGTCTTCTAAGCTCCAAAGATAATGTTCATCCCCTGGTCAGGTTTTGTCAAGCTGTAAGGTACATGGCAGTCACCTGAAGGTTGAATTAGGTGCATATTCGGGTTTAGCAGGGTTAGGTTCTGCAGTCTAAGCAGGATGATACAGTAAGGCTGGTTAGAAGAACCAGACTTTGTTGAAGGTCCACTCGAACCTGAACGTCAGACTCTCTGGAGAACCCGTTAAAGTCAAACAGTGAGGGTCTTTAGCCAGAGACAGCCAGGGCCTCTGTGAGTCTGATGTGTTGCTGAGTCGATAGCACCACTGTGACCTCACAGTTCCACCTGTAATCGAGAGTTCCAGACAGTGGTTGGGATGGATCTCCAGAGTGAATGGAAGAGTCAAGTAGCATGGTTTTCGATGATTATTTTCTTACATTCATCATCTCCTGGTTCTGGCTGTGAGTCACAATCCGGAAGAAATATGATCAGGAGTGATAATAGAGGTTAACAGCTACTGAGAAGTTATGACTTCTCGTGTTCAAGGCATTTTACTTGCATTGTCTTTGCTCTCATTTTACTCTGTGAAGTAAGTACCATTGTTTTCTCTGTATTAGAGACAGACATACTAGAGAGAAGTGACTTTAAAAGTCACACAAAGGGCTGGGACATCCATGTGAGATTTAAGGTAGGCACCCAGACTCGAGGGTCCTAGGGAAGCTGAGACCCACCAATACTTGCCTTCATGTAACCCTCACTGGCTGTCTTAGTGAGGGTTTCTCTTGCTGCAAGGAAACCCCATGACCAAAGAGCAAGTTAGACAGGGAAGGGTGTATCTGACTTACACTTCAGCACTGCTGTTCATCACTGAAGCAGTCAGTACAGGAACTCAGACAGGACAGACTCTGGGAGTCAGGAGTGACGCAGAGGTCATGGAGGGTGCTGCTTACTGACTTGCTCCTCATGGCTTGCTCAGCCTGCTTTCTTACAGAACCCAGGACCACCTTCCCAGGATGGCCCCACCCACCATGGGCTGGGCCCTATTCTGTTGGTCACTAATTACGAAAATGCCTTGCAGCTGGATCTCACTGAGGCATTTCCTCAACTGAGGCTCCTTCCTCTCATGACTCTAGCCACAATAAAGACCCTAAGAAACCGATCTGTTTGTAGGAGAAGAGTGGATTTGAAGGTCATTTTAGCAGCCTTCTAAAACACACGTATCCAGTCCCAGTGTTAGTATACTCCAGACCTCAGCTCTCAGCTTTGCCGGCTCTGTTGATGGTGGAGGCTTTTCTCAGTTGTCTTACTCTAATGGCTTCAGCTAAAAGAGGATGGCCTGCCAACAGAACTTTGAGCATTCCTTCCCTTTAAAAACGCGGGACCCCGGGATCTGAGTTCTCTTGTGTTCTTCATCCTTTTCTGAGTTCCTTTTCATTTCCGACCTCCTCAAAAGGAGACTCAGTACTGGTGTGAGATTGAGCAGGGTATTTAACTTACTGACCATGTACTTAACCCCTGTAACCTTTCTTTTTGGTTTTTAATTAAAAATTGTGTTTCATTGATGCTTCCAGCGATTTTAGTGCCTTATGTATTCCATGTTAACATAATGTATTTAGAAAGCTGAGTGTAAGGCAAGTCCATTTTTAATTTATCAATGGCATCCTTAGTTTAATATGCTTAAGCATACTTGGCTTTTGAAGGCAGAATTAATCTTTTATCAGACTTGCCATGGATGCTGTTGGTCTCATTACTTTAGGGAAATGTCCCTGTGATTGAGTTAGAATTAATGCTAGTCACATACTTCTATTTCCTACTGTCTGCATAACATAAAGACACAAATAAAAGTCACCCATACTAAAACCAACGTAAAAACAATGACTACCTATATTGCTGTCTGAAATCTAACAAAAATGTGTGCTTTCATTTTGGATGACGAAAGTAAATCTAATACAATCATGTGTTAGCAGGTGTGCGAACTTTCTTTTATGAGCTGAACTAGAAAGAAAACTTGCACAGAATTACAGAAAGATAAGTTATATATGTGCAGGAAAGCTCCAGAGATGATTGAGAGAGACAAAGATGGAGTTTCATTCTGCCTTCCATCTGTAAAGCAAAGCTAGCTAGAAATGCCCAGAACTAATACTGTAAGTTCTTTGTATCACGGGGGCCTCTGACTCTTGAATGACTGGAGTCACTTGGGGCCTTATTAAAAATACGGACCCTAGGGTTCATTCCCTTTAGGTGTAAATTTGCAACAGAATCCTGGGAGGATTTCAGTATACACTGCATTGGGGTTCTCCAGAGAAATAAGACGGTTAGCAGATTTTCTCTTTTTCTCTCAAAGTGTTAAAGGGAGTTGACTTCTGAGATTGAGAATTTCCAAGCTCTATAGTTGGCATTTCTAGACCCAGGAGAGCATATGGTATAGTGAAAGTCTGATTCTGAAGGGAGGAGAGACAGTTACCTAGCTGGAAGACAGTGTCCAGGGGGAGGGCAGTAGGCATGAACATGTGGGATTAGGTGTTGATGCTGCTGCCCAGCTTTATAGATATATTACTAATAATATATATTACTAATAGTATATTAGTAATCACTGAGCTGAACAGGGTCAATAAAATGTGAAGAGAGACAGGATAGGAAGAAGGAAGAGGAGCTTTTGTCAACATCTCTTGTTTCTATAGAGAAATACAAAACCTGGGGAGTAAGGGGTGTGAGGCCAGGGAAGTAATTCTTACCTACACAGGTGATATTGCAGCATGTTGATGTGCTGATTCAAGGACCAATTGGAAAGGGAAAGACGAGCCACTGCGCAGCAGTCTTCCACAGATCATGAGTTCACCATGATGCTATCTCAAGTAACTTTCTTCCTGTTTTCCCCCAGGTGACAGACCAGTCAGTGAAGGCATTTGCTGAGCACTGCCCTGAACTCCAGTATGTTGGCTTCATGGGTTGTTCAGTAACTTCCAAAGGAGTCATTCATCTTACCAAGGTAAGCACCACAGCCCCGTTTTCCTGATGTTTGGGAGAGCTGTGGAGGCGATGGGCTACTGTGTTGTCACCATCGGCCATCCTCCCATCTCTTGGCAGGCGTTCCAACACTAAGCTCCAGGCCATCTCTCTACTTTTTATTACATGGCACGACTGGCCTTGAACTCAATATGTAGCTCAGGAAATCCTAGAACTTGTGGTCCTCCTGCATTAGCCATTGACTCGCAGGAATCACAGACCTGATGCACTATGTTTAGCTCCTTGTTTCGGAGCAATGTCTTCCTCTGTTTCCCAGCTGCTCTTGACTTCATGGGTTCTGGATCAGCCTCATTCTCCTGAGTGACTGGGCTTATGGGCATTTTCCACTTGTGCCTGACTTGCTGGTATTGCCAAATGTAGTTAATGAGGAATAGTTGGACAGCTATGGAAGTTGGCTACTATTTGATAAAGTTTTAGAACAATGTCTCATTTTTTCTAGAGTGGAATCCTTATTTTAAGTTTATGTGTTACCTTTTTATTGCTATACTTATAAAACTTACCTGTAACAACAGTCATGTCAGCTTTGTCTTAAAGCACTGCACATGGTGATGCATTGAGTTTCACCTACTCTTTTCTCTCTGTGTCATTGGAGCATCTGCTTTACAAAGGGCACATGGTCATTGCATTGACTCATCTGAACATAGAAAGTAAAAAGGTATGTCACAACATTTGCCTGATAGCTCAGAGTTCCCTTACAACCAGTCATACATTTTAGAAATGATGAAGGTACCAGCTTCTCTACAGTAGCATTTCATTTCTGCTCTGGTGATAGTTAGGGGCTACTTCTTACATCCATGTGATAGAACAATAAGCTGCTATAAAATCTACCTGTGTGATAGTTAAGAGCGACTTCTTACATCCATGTGATTTAAAGTTGACTTGTGCACAACCTGACCTGTGTATTGTATAGCTTTTAGCTGTCATCACTCTGTCCTTGGAAAAGGAGTGCTGGGATTGCCTTCTTGACTTCATAGCAGAATAGCCTTGTGCTTCATCTTCTCTCATAACGATTACAAAACCGTTGCGTGGCAGCACCATGCTGAAATAACCGGACCTCAGCTCTCTTTATGCCCCATTTGTTTGGGTCTCTTCCAGTACAGCTTCAGATGTTTCTGAGTGAGGTAAGACTGTGCTGGTGGGGCAGTGAGTAGGTGGCCCAGCTCCTTCGCCTCCATTTTGGTCCTTGGCTCTGCCACTTAGTAACTTAAATGGGCAAATTGCAGTTTATTAACTAAGGCAATGTATGGCAAGTGCTTCCCTCAGTATTGGGACCACAGTCAGAGTAAAGTAAATGATCATTATTACTATCAAAGTATATTCTATTCTATGCACATTGCTAGAAAATTAGTGCAAACTTTGCTTTCCAAAAATCAAATCGCCATTCTTTAGTTGTTTTAAAGAGAGCCTGTGGGTATCCTGTGTCTGAAACTATTGATAAATCTTGATTGTATTCTGATAATGGGAGCCTAAAGCTAGAGGAAAGGATGAGACTTTTCATGATCAATCTACTAGAACAATAGTAACCACATATTTTTACTCAGGCCTGTAACCTTGGCCTGGAAATCTTGAGATGAATGTTTTTCTAGTTTCTTCTGATGCTGTGTGCAGAAATGCCATGGGATGAACAGATTGTGCACAACAGTTATAAGGACCATTTGTGGGATTTTTACTATCACTCAAAATTGTGCTCATTAAAGACAGAATAAGATAACCAGATGACTGTGTACTCGGAGTATTTGAGATGACTCCAAACTCTGCATAGCAGTATTTAAAATAATTATTATCTGTGATAAAAGCTATAGTAAATGAATAACTGCAAAGCTTCATTTGCTTGGCAGGCTCTTCTGAAGTTCATAGGCAAGGGTGTTTGGTGTGTGACCTGCTAACAGGTGGAAACTTCTAGACTCATATTAAAGCTAGTCCACAAGGTTCTAACCTGCATATTTCTCCACAACAGTGCATTCACTTAGATGGAAAGTGGCTTGTGGTATAATGGTGGACTTTCTTGTGCTCAAATGACAGCACGGTGGCATTGTGTCGTAAGCATGCACATCCTTTGCAAAGCTATGGGTGTCAAGTTTATAAAACTCAAGCTTTAGGTGTAAAATTGTTGGCTTCTGCTAGTGTTTTAAACAAGTTACTAATCATAAAATGTTATAAATATACTAAATGCCCCTTAAAATTGTGTTTTCTGTTATTATAATATATAATTTTAATGAAATGATTAGGGACATGTAAAATACAGTGTTGAGAGTAGTCACCTTAAATATATTTACTTTTTACACTAAAAAAAACCTTAACACATGATTTTGAATTTTACAAATTAAGGAAAATGGCATAAAATTGCTATACATTAATTTCTGTACAGGAAATCACACACTTGGATTAAACAATCTATGTTTAGATTAATAATTTCTTGTACCTATAGAATCAAAGGATTTAGAAGTTGTTGGACGGGGAGACTGTGAAGTCAAGCTAAGAAATATCAAAGGTTTTAATACACTAGTGAAGAAAATTGGGCATTGTGACTTCTTTAACATAATCAAAGGGCCAGTGGGCAAAAAGATAGTGACTAGAAGGAAAAGTACTGTTCCCTGACCACCGTTTGCCCTGGTTCAGTTCCACGTTGACATTGTCATTCCTCACTGAACTCTCAGCTTCCTTTGGGATGATTCTGGCTTCCACAAGATTCTGCTAACATCACATACTGTCCCTTAGGAGACCGTTTTCCTAAACTTCTTTATCACGTCAGTGAGAGTCAGTTTACGAAGGCCAGGTCCATGGGTCTGTGTTTGCAAATGTCCAGTTTTGTGAGGTAAGAGCTGAGGCTCATGGGGGAAATGAAAGTGTCAGCAAGTCTCCTGCAGCAGAGCTGGGTTTGTCACTTCCTCTACTCCCTTGTGAATATACAGTGCTTCTCTCTTGCTCCTTCTACAAACAAGTCCAGCAAAGGAAAGCGTGCAATTACTCCCTCGTGCTCAGTGCTCCTGAACCATTTGTCACTACAGCAACTACAAGGAGCATGCCAGGGCACTCAAAATTCATGGAAAATGACCGCCACTACTCCAAGTTCAATGCTTAGAGTAAGAAAAGGAGAACTCACCAAAAGGGATTACAACAAGTCAAAAATGTAAACACTGGGGTTATAATGACACAAACAATGCTTGATCCTTCCAGCTAAAGCATCGAAGCAGGGACCAACAGATAAAATCCAGGAACATAAGTGTTCCAGTCTAGCATGGTAGAACACAGCTTTAATCCTTGCACCAGGAGGCAGAGGCAGGTAGATATCTGTGACTTTGAGACCATCCTGGTCTACATAGCAGCAGGACAGCTAGGGCTAAGTAGAGAGCCCCTGCCTTTTGTTTCTTTTTTTTGATTCTGGATATCAGGCAACAGAGGATAATGGTCTCTGAGATTTGTATAGCCAACAAGAAAACTCACATGATAGTTTCAGAGGGTTCCACTGAGAGATTTCTGGATGGCAGCACAGCCAAGGGTAACATGCAGAGACCCAGTAAACCATGTGAGGTGACAGGAAGAGCAAGCAGTGCAGGACACCATCAAATTCAGGAGGGGGTGCTGGTGTGGAAAGAGCTGCAAGGGTCAGCCAGACACCCATGAACGCCCTCTGCTAACACACCCTCCACGGCGCAAGGGCAGACTTGGAAAGAAAAAGCGGGGAAATGTTTGGAAGTGTCTGAGTGAAAATAAAACCACGTGTTTCAAAAGTCCTCTGATGCTGCCAGCTTTTACTCAGGTAGAATGAGTAGAACTGAATACCTGCGTAAGAGACAAAGAATGCTCTCAAATCGGTGAGCTCGGTTTCTGTGTAGTGAAGCATGAGAAAGAAGAGCAGACTGGGATCCCAAGTATGCAGAAGAAGAAAGGGGTGAAAGTTCACGTAGCGGAGTAGAAAACCAGTAACAAACACTGTGCTGGCTAGTTCTGTGTGTCAGCTTGGCACAGCTAGAGTCATCAGAGGAAGGAGCCTCAGCGGAGGAAATGCCCCCATGAAATCTAGCTGTAAGGCAATTTCTCAGTTAGTGATCAGTGGGGGCAGGCCCAGCCCATGGTAGATATGGCCATCCCTGAGCTGGTGGTCCTGGGTTCTCTAAGAAAGCCCGCTGAGCCAGCTGTGAAGAACACGCCAGTGAGCAGCACCCTCCATGGCCTCTGCATCAGCTCCTGCCTCAGGGATCCCGCCCTGTTAGAGTTCCTGTCCTGACCTCCTCAGGTGATGAACAGCAGTGCTGAAGTGTAAACCCTTTCCTCTCCAACTTGCTCTTTGGTTATGGTATTTCATTGCAGTAATAGAAACCATGACTAACACAAAAACCAAAGCTGAGTTTTGATAAGAGAGATGGAATCTAGTCTGATTGGAAAGGGAAAGGAGCTGGAATTGCTGGCCAGCATCAGGACTTACAGAGTGTACAGACATTAAAGGAATAAGAAGAGTAGTCTTGGGAAGAAACGTGTGTGCATAAATGGACAACGAGGATGAAGAGCTCTACTTGAAAGGAATTGTAAAAATACCTACTACACATTTAATAAGGATTAACAGGAAAATTTATAAAAGCTCAAAAGTAAGAAAAGGATTCACCTTATTTTTAAAACTGGCAAAGCATTTGAGTGGCTATTTTAAAGAGGACACACAAATGTCCAAAGGCTTAATGTTTTTCATTAATAGTCATTAGAGTCCCATATCTGCCAAAATGGTTATTATAGAAATATTAAAAGCTAACAGGTGTTGGTGAAATATGGAGAGAAGTGATTTATATTAGGATAGCATTACATAAAACAGTATCAAGGTTTCTCAAGAAAATAACAAAATTACTATGTGATCCGAATTCAGTATGCTGAAGAGATCTTCCTACTCCCATATTCATTATAGCATTAGTCACTATAATGTAGAAATTAGTCACTGTAATATAGAAATTAGTCACTATAGTACGCAAACTG